TGATTTTTCTCAAATTTAATTGATTTTTACAAGATTGATAATCAATAACATATAAATATATAATTTAAACGTATTTCTAACACAATATAAATGCCATAAAATTTATATTATGTTATTAATATTAAATATTTACTTGACCAAATGGCAAATAAAATCGGTGGCGATAAATAAATGTAGTAAATTAATATTGTCCAAACAGTCGATTTAAAAGTATTATTCATAACAGTTTTGTAGGAACAGCTCTTAAAATGTGACTCATAGGGGGTGGGGTGGGGGTGGTTTTACCTGTGACTCATAGCATGCCTTAACACTACATGAGTCATTCCTGAGAGTCAATACATTGACAAGGTAAACGAGTCCTGGTAGTGAATAGTTAAGTGGAGCGATTCTACGAAATGACCAGCTATCTCATTATTCTAAGTATTCCATCACGATACCGCCAAATAATACATCATTTTATGAATTGTACGATTGATGGTATATTTGTTGTATTTAGTGACCATTGCATAAAATTCTCTTAATATGAGATCTGAATTTTTCTATTTAAACTTGTTTTAATCAGTAAAACATTGATTATACAATCTACTACATTTTCCAATAGAGGTATCAAAATTAAAAATGAATATTGTCAAAAAAAAATTAAGAAAAGTTCCATAGCCAAATAATAAAGGTTGAATTAAGTCAAAATGAACAAACACACAGAAAGTACGTAATAATATTGAGAATATTGTCATTGTATACACTCACATCTAAATATATACATTTTATGCAGCTAATGCTGCAAAGTTTGTTTCGTCCAAGTAAATGTTCCTCTTTATTGATTTTGAACAGTATTATTGCATTAGTAAATAAATATAATATAAACATATAATTCAAAACCTCTTTCCAATAAATCCTTAGGATATGTAGTACTTGGTAAAACAGTTCATAACCACCGCCCGTGCTCCGCCACGGGAATATTGTCAGCAATAAAAGACATAATAATTAACAAATACTGTTTATCTTTGTATTTCATTTACAGGCTGCTTGATTTTTTCCATGAAATAGAACTGATAGTTGACCTGTATAAGCTATTTATGTTTATCAAACCGATTAGTCTAACCAAATGAATGTTTTATTGATTCCAGTTTCGTTTGAAAAACAAATAATGTACGAAATGCGCAATGATGATAACGTAATAAAGCTACTTATGGAGATAATTTGTTCGTGCAATTCGTTGTGTGGATTTAAGAGTTATTAAATCATGCATCAGCAGTTAGTCGCATTTACTGGATCTTTGACCCATTCCATAAGTAACAGCTGGTTGCGTCGTATATACCAAGTTGGCAATACTTTGGTTCAATGCTAGAGTGTATTAACGGTCCAATCCGATTGTAAAAGGAGTCCCTGATCTTAAAATTGTATAGACTACCAGAGGATGTTGATTCATTAAGATAAGACTTATGAACTCGCCATTGCAAATGCCGAGTATCTTGAGTAAGATTCATCACCTACGATAAAATGTTTGTATGTTTTCTACTCAGTAAAAATTATCTGTACAACCTGCAAGCGGATTCCCCTATGATTATTCTGGTGGCCGTAGAGAATAAATGATTTGACTGGAACAAACAGTTTCCCGTCACCTACTATGGGTATTATTTCACGTTCCATACTCAAAACTCAATTACTGGGACACATAGATAATATTTCATTCTAATTTCATACTAAATGTTTGCAAATTATCCCTTTTTAAGCAATTTATTAGATTCAAGTGAACGGAAGGCGCCAGGTAGGCAATTCAGATGCTACGTTCGTGTTGCGTTTGGGTTTGGAAGGAACTAAATAAATGACGGAAAGGTATGAGGATGTGAAAGAGCTTTGCATTAGAGTGGTGCTGTAATCATTTTAAAACTCTGATGACTGTATAGAACGCCCATAAGTAAAAAAAAATTTTTAGCTTTCATCCAACCCATACTGCGTTAATCTTCTACTAGTTGGACCAGTTTGCAAATTTCCCATTTTTAGAGAGTCTTGGCCCCTCTCCGATTAATTAAAACTATGCAATGCCGTATTACCCATTGATGATTACTTCGTAGCTGGAAAGATGTGAGATAAAAAATATCAGCATATAAAAATATATAATAAGTTTGTTTAAGGCAGTTATTATATGAATAGAACTACTAGCCTAATTGTAGATCCATACCAAAAGAGTGATTTGTCTACCTCAATATGGTTACAAACATCAATTCAAATGGCCTATTCAAAGTCGATTTTCAGAAACTGTTCTGTCTATTGTATACAGACTGAGGAGCGAGCTTGTCTAGTAGTAGCACGGGGCTTCAGTGCCCGAGATCCCGAGTTTAAATCCCGTTAATCACCATTGGATTTTTATCCATGTGATAATACCGCAACCCTTTAGGACTAGCCTGAAGTAATTTGTGAAATTTCCGGGATAGAAAAGCGTCTTAGGATACAAAGGTGGGATATGAAAAAATGTTTAAAATCTAAAAATGTAAAAAATTTAACTGAATGTAACCCGCGCTAAATTACAACTCACATTTAAGGCAGTAATAAGAAAAGTTGGTCAGCAGCTCTGGGTCTTTGAAAGCAGAATCTAAAAATTATCAAATGTTATGGGGGCGAATACCCAAAGGAAATGTCCATTTTAGTTACCATTCCTCCGCTAGATTATAAGCTTTAAAATTACACAAAAATCGTATGCATTGGTTAATTAGGGCGGGCGGAAAAAGGATGTAACAGAGAAAACCCTTATTGTATTATGTGCCGTATATAGAGATAGAATATATATGTATAGATTTATCTTTGGAATGTGATACCGGAATTCTTGTTGTAATCAAATCTAAAAATAGTTTTAAACAATCTGACACTTTAAATCTGGAACATTGAAATTCTAAGTTTCGAACTTCAAATCCCAAACTCGCTGATATGTAGATTTAGATATTCAAGTGTAAAATATTGTGTATTTCTATCGATAGTTAAGCAGCTAACTTTAACAGACATTCATATCCAACAGTGCTTCGTATCTCAAGAAGTGGGCATCCCCGCGCCGGAAGGAAGAAGTCAGTGCTCAGTTCCCGGATACGGAAGTGGGCTCTAAATTGACGTAATGAGCTAAGCAATCCAGGAAGACCATCGTGGATAATATTTCCCCACCCTTACTTTACATCGCAACATACGTGAAGTTAGAAATATCTGTGGCTGTACAGTGTACGCTGCTATGGTTATGATCGAGAAATATTACACGCAGAGCAAAGGGAAAATGCTTTAAATCGGCTTAATAATGGTTTACATTAACTTTTGACTAATCTGGAATTTACCACAGTAAGTGATAAATAGATTTTGTGATTTGACTCGGTTCACAATGTTCAATATGTTTTGTTAAATTTTGTGTTTTTGAAAAGGAGGTTTTCTTAGTAAAAGTTGAAAATACTGATAACAAATTTCTAAGCTGCCCCCAAAGTATATAATTGATTACACATGTTCCATTAAAAAACTCCTCCTGTATGCAAATTTCGCTAAAGCATCAGAAATATTTGGTCCCTAATATAAGCGCTCCGTAAATAAGTAGAATATATTTATTCGCCAAAATAAATATAGTTATGAAAATAAACTACAAGATAGCTAAAAAATCACAACAAAGCGTTTTCAAACCAAACCCCTATCAGGACCAGCAAAGGAGAGATACGAATAAAAGTACAGTTACGTGGAGGAAAAATAAGCTCATAAGTTGTGTAAACAGTTTGCCATTTACGAAACAGTAAAATAGGGTAAAAGGCGGAAGAACCAAGGTGGAAGAATATTTACAACTTTGTTGTTCAAAATTATCATACAAAGTAGGAGGGTGTAACGGGTAAGAATTTATCCGTACCGTTCTAAAGGCATAAAGAATGCTGAATGCAACATGTAAGTTCTATTTATCGATTTCTTTACGGATTTGTTATTGAATAAAAAAAAAATTGGCTACGAGGATCTAATTAAAAAGTGTGTGTAGTGTATTTATAATAAAAAAGGAAAATCGAGGGATTTGGAATAAAAGATGTTTAATTTGTAAGGAAATCAATGAATATGTGTTGTTATGAGAGGTGATTCTCGACGAATGACTGAAACAATGGATATACTGGTATTGGCCAAGTGATGGAATTACATGACCATATATAAACAAAGACATTTAAATTAATAAAGCAAACTAAGACACTTGACTTTACTACACGAAAATAATAGGTTTACTTTGCAATGACTATAGTCACTGCCATAACCTAATAACTTGTATTGCTTTCTTTTACAAATATTATGCTATCTGACGTTTGTAATATAGTGTATTTTGTCGACTACAATAAACAAATTATTATTATTAATTATTTCCTTTGTAGAAAGCTCACAGCTTGGATTGTAGAATGAAAATGCAATTTTAAGATTCATTCACTCCTTGCATTTTCTTTCCAACCTTACTGTGATATTAATGTACACAACACACCACTTTTCCCAAGTTGTTACAAGCTTTAACCCTAAACGAGAAGCTTTGGAGGACAAATGTAAATGATAAAAACGTTTTTAATCTGAATTTCCATTCTAAGACAGTCATTATATAAAAGGTGTTCCATTAAAACTTGTATGGTTAGCCTTATTTTTATGGTTAGTTTTATGGATAAGGGGAATTGTGCACTTTATAAATCTTTGTAGTGTCATAAAAAGTTGAAGTTCTCTATTTAACATTTTCTTAAATTAAATAGCTTCTGAGATTAGGTTTTACAGAGGGAAAACTTGTGCCTGTGGGACCAATGGTTTGTCTAAAATCAATGCTGGACACATTACGAGATTCTCCCTATATATCTGTGCTTAGCGAAGTTATAGGGGCCTACATTTAGCTCGAAATCACCATACTTCATACTTTATAACGAATGTTATGGGCTAACTGTATTGGTATTGTTAACGGTACGAAGTTTTTTCTGCTTTCAAGCGAAATTATAAAGCCAATTAGAAACCATGGCAATAGTTGTAGTATTTTAACTCAGCATTTTGAACTTTGTTAAATTCGAAGTGAAACATTGTGTGATCTGCAGTAAAATATGTCCTTAGACAGTTCTTGGGTAAGTGATAGAGGTAAATATTTATTTTACTCCAAATTAGTTGAACAACTATTTGAAGTAATAGTGTTGCGCACATTAAAATAAATAGTAGTATACACAATGAGGAATTTGTCTCAATGTGAACAATTAATTCGGCTATCTTAATTTATTTTATTGATTGCTATATTAATAACTTAATTAATTAATTCGAGATCAATTGAACTAAATTTAAGAATATTGCTGAACAAGTCATGGATATGCGTTGAAACTTTGGTATTTGTATGAAGTGTTTCATCATTTTGTTCTCTATTGTAAAAAGGGTTCACTCGGAGAAACTGTAAATACTTTCATGTTTTAGGCCAAGGACTCAGTTACTTCTGTTTCTGGCCCCAGTGGTAAAATGAGACGTAAGTACTGTAAACGTTTTTTCCAATTAAATCTAGAAAATATTTCTGTATTTTTTAAAGAATACTGATTAAATTAATTAGAACAGATACATATTTCAGAGGAAGAGGGGTTTCTCTCAACTCGATGTGGACGCATTGCAATTTTCCTTTATCTTTAGTCATCAAAAGATAAACAATTATGACGCCTAAACCATATTTTTTATGCAAGATTCTGACTGTGATTTAGTAAATTGGTTACTTTGGTTACAATCAGTTGATCTAAGTGAGCACAAAAATAACCCCAATTATACTAAATTACTGTAATATCTAATCGAGTTGTAGTAGTAAATATGCACGATCTTATCAAAGTCCCTTTTTATAGGCAAAGGCTCCAACGAACATTAATAATTAATACAGTACTGTGAATACTTGGAAAGTGCACAACTCATTCCCAATTCATAGTCCCAATTCATTCTTATGAAGATAAGAATGAATATTGCTCTTACTTAATATCGTACGTAAGGTTTATAGGGGTTATAAATAAAAAAAATTCTGTTTCATGCATACAATGATTTGGTTTAAAGAGCTATCGGAATGTTGTTTAGTTTAACATTTATAATTCATTCAAATTCACTAGCCCTTTGTAATTTCTTTTTTACAGCTCACTCTGGAATACCACCAACAAAAACTTTACCTCAAATGAGCAAAGATAGGACAAAATCTGCTACCAGTAGAAGCGTTAGGTCGAAATACACACTTATGGAGAATTCCTTGCCTCAGCTCAGTAACAAACCTAAAATGAGTATTTCTAGACACAATAAAAGTCAAGAAACTAATGATAGTTTGTCTGCTGCAGACGAGGGACGTATGAAAGATATCTTATTCGTGAGGAAAATGTTGGTGATGAACAAGAAGCAAGAACTTTTGCTGAGCAAGCGTCTTGCAAACTTGTTGGAGGAAGAGGATGAAACTAAAAAACTTGAGCAGAGAGAAAAGAGTACAAAGCTGAAAAGGAACCCATCCCATATTAAGCTATTAGCTAAGTATGAAAATAATACTTGCGACCACATTGGTGAAAATACAATTCCTGAAACGCACAGTAAAGGAGTTCCTATTGAAGATGAGGTATCCGTAGATGAGAAAACTACATTAATAAACAAGACAGAGAAAAAAGACCCGAATGACACACCAAACAAAACAGCAGCAGCTAAGAAAATGCAGTATGACCTAAATGGTAGGAGAATCTACTATTATGACGACCTTGAAGATGAAAGAAAAGATGATGAGTTGAATTTAGATAAAATCCCAATACATTTTAACGAGTATTCTGAGATCAACAAAACACCTGTTAACCCAAAAAAGAAACAGTTTAAAAAATCAGCCACTTACATTAAAAAACATGGCAGTTTGGAAAGGAAACCAATGTCCAAGGATCAATTGAAAGTCAGAAAAGAAGGTGGAAATTTTAAAGATTGTAACGTGGAAAATTCGTTGGGAATTTCTTTAAACTCTGGATCTGGTGGGGATGGAAAAAACGTACAAACTATAGTTGTCAATTGTTCCACGGTTGTTAAAAGCTGCTCAACACCGAAGAAGAATCTTAAGGTTTGGAATTATGAAAGACTTTCAGATTCAAGATGTGAGAACCGTGGGAATAGTGAAAATGTTTTGTCTGATGACAGTAAACAAAACAGTGAAACATTGAGAAACAAAAGGTCAAATAGACCACTCAACTGTGATCAATAACTTTCAAAATGGAGGGAGAAATAATCCATAACTGTAGGTAATAGAGTAGCTGAAACGAATCAAATTTTGAAAAAAATGCACAGATACCAACTGTCAACCTTGATAAATTATATTTTATTTTGACTATGGTAAAGTTTTAGTATTATTTATGCTAACAGGCTTGACAAAATTTCTGCAAATGCAGAAGCATAATAATCTTTTAGTTATTATTTTTAATGTAGCCAAACTTAATACATCCCTTAACAAAATCTCTTAAAGGTTTCATGTATCCTATCTTTCTATAAACGAGGATATTGTTTGTATATTTGTATACTTGGCAGTGACAAACTCAGACACCACCGGACCGATGGCCTCGAAACTTGGTACATACATATAGAATGTTATGGAGTAGGTTTATACACAATCAATTTCGTGATAACTTTTTGGGCTTAGCCCGAGGACAGTCTTAAAGGTGCCCATTTCAGGGATTTTGAAAGAATTTTAGTTAGATTTGTTTACTACCAAAAAATATGAAAGTAACATTTAATACAGGTAATGTAAATTAATGGTACGTTTCGTTCTGCTATTTAATTGTATTTGTTTCTACCACGATTTGTTTCTTGGTGCCATGTGGTTGATGAATTAGACTTTTGCATATATTTTGAAAGCAATACACTATACACAATACTGGTTCAAAATAAAATGTTAAAATACGCGATAGTAGTTCGTCTATAATGTTCTAATATAGATAAATAATATTTAACATATTTCTAGCTTTAATAGTGCCAAAATTTGTGTACATGCATTTATGACTTTTATTATATATTGCATTTTGTACCCGGACAAAGCCGGGGCTTGCTGATAGTAAAAAAAATAAAAACAGCTTTAGATAATGTGATTTACAAATCAATAATCACACGCAAAGCAATTGAAAATAAATGAATAAATGGTACATCACAGATAAAATGCATCAGTACACTGATATCAATCTGTTTTGTTGCAACTTATCTTGTTTGTAATTTAACAATTACAAGTTTTATTGCATTGATTATTAAAAGTTTTCAATTTATGTAACCACTTTCAAATTATCTATAAATAAAAAATATAAAATGATACAAATGTATTTGAGTGAGAATCCCATGAAATAATAAAATACTAGCTGCATTTTAAAATGTGATAAAGCCACCAGTAAAATTATTTAAATTCTCATACAAAGTATTAACTCTACATGAAAAAATTCCGTAAACATTTGTGAACTTTGTTAGATGATCGATATAAACTGAAACTGAAATAATATTTTGTTGTATGCCTACTAATTATTGTACAACAATAAGTTATTGCTCCGAATAATCTTATAATGTGGGCATTGTATATGCATGATAATCGTGCCTTATTTCAAAAGTTAAGCTGTTGAAAGGATAATAGAAAAATTACGCAGCAATGGCCTCACCAGATATTTTATCTTTTCGTAAATTGTTAAATTACCTCGAAGAAAGTGAAAGTAACACGATATATGCAAAAGTGTCACAACTTCCTAACCTCACCAAGTGACACACTTTTCGGTATCGGTTGAAATAATTAGGGCCTCCGAAAAACTTTGTTCTCATTATACTGAAAGTGAGAACTGATTTTTATTTTCTGATTAGTACGAAACAGAAGAATTCCGATAAGAGTTTAGTTTAAAAGGCTAACATAAGTTAAAATCAATCATTGCTTCCAAGGAACCCAAAAGTAACAGAACAATGAACTGTAAGTGTTATACATTTTTATAAAATAGATTTAATATTATTTTTTTGTTTTACTGTGGGATTTGTTAAATAGTTTTACTCTAGTTAGATTGAAAATTCAGAACTTTAAATATAATAATCATTGATACTGATACACATATTGGGAGTGATAGTTTAATTTCAATTTAATTTAGGTTAACTGTTTGTAATTTTATAACAGTTTAACGTTGGGGAAAACCTAATAAATTAAGTAAATGTAGCAAATAATAATTATTTTACATACTGTATGAATACAATTTAGATATATAATTTTAAAATGGTTAGAAACCCGATTTTTGCAGAAAAATTTGTTATTTTGGTATTTCTATCTTAAAATGGGAATGTATTATTTTTTTAAAAGGGGACCCGTCTGCAAATTTTTCATTTTGGTGGGATTTGACTAAGAGGTTAAACGAACAATGAATACCCTTTTACTATTCAAATATTATACTCGTTAAGACCAATATTAGGTGAATTTAACTATTAATTTACAATAAATCTATAATATTAAAACGAAACAGTGTTTTTTTATTTCACGTTTCTGAATCAACCACTCGACGGATTTTCATGATTTTTGTGTTGAAAGAAAGATAATTTTGAGAACTAGGGAATGTCGAAGCCATAATTTTAGTTTAGGGTCCCAGTTTTTCAGAAATTAAGTTTTAATTTTTAAAAAGTCTAGCAGCCGACGCTAAGATTCTAAACTAGCTTTTGGCATAAAATAATTTGCTTAACATAACAGCTGTAAACATTCAGCTTTTGTGTCACAAATTCAGCATTTGGATAAAAATGTAAAGACATACTTAGGGTTGACTTATTTATACTATGTGTAATGCTAATCATTGATACGTTCAATTCTTCTGTAAGAGGGTGACAGATTAATTAAATATACATAGTAAAATAGTAGGATGTTCGAATTATTTTTTAAAGCAATCTTTGTAATCTTCGATTTGTTTTAGAGCAACATAATTTGTTTTAACTAACAGCTGGTTAAATATAAACTATGGAACTATGAGGTTATTTTATTTTTGTCATTGATTATAGGAAATAAGTAAGATTAGTAGAGATAATTACACTACAGTTTAAACCACAGTTTTCACCAAAATTAATTAAACCACAGTACAAATCGAGGCTCTGTACACGAGTCTTTATAAAAAAGGATAAATGCGAATTATTTTACTGCTCCACTCTTCAAGGAAAGATTAGAAAAATAACAATGTTTACATATTTTGATTCTTCATGGTAGCTTTTTGTTTACAATTAATGTTTGTTTGGACAACATGCTTTAACTTTGTTTGGATTAGGCCCGGAAATATTGATGTCATAAAAAGAAGATCAAGAATAATCAGGAATCACGATTTTAAATTACCACCATAACCTCAGCCGGGTTTTATACAAAGATAAACGGATGGATGACATACATTGAACACAACGTCAACATTTACCTAGGATACTGCAATTAGACAAACCATCCTTTTATGAAATCGTGTTCAGTTGTGGTTACGTTTGGGGGCGCCTATATCAGCGCCCCCAATCGTGAAAATATCACTTTTATTTTAACTATGAACATATTGTAGTTTAAATAAACTAATATGAAAAATTACGATGTACATTTATTCAATGAGGGTGAGCAATTATCAAGGATAGAACTGATAATGGTATGGATAATAAACATTGACAATTACGTCATTAGCTTTACTAGCGTGTTTACTTTTTATATTCCTGCTACATGTGACCAGTTCTTTATTTCAAATGAATGTTATTTGAACCAAACAGCTGTTTCAAAACAAACTGTTATTGTTTTTACTTTTCTTTGTTTATGCTTATTTATTAAGCAATTAATGCAGTTTTTGATGTTAGGACACCAAAGTTAAATTATGTGTACTGTGAATTTTATTGGATACTATCGTTTTATTTTAGGTCGTTTCTATTCAGACCTACTGGAAATTGTGTAAAGTAGTTGTATCGTGGTGATAATAATTATGGAAGAGGCAGGTATGCTATGGAAGGTGGTATCGTTGACTAGGTCTATACACTTCTCAATTGACTATTACTCTCTCTACTGTAGGCTACTTATAATCAGTGTGCGTCTGTGCGAATCGGCTGCAAATCTCACTTTAACGCTTTACACATCGTAAAAATTGCAGAATTGCTGTTTTATTGTAAAATTATCGCATTTAAAATGCATATCGTATAGGCTTTATTCTATGGAACTTCTTATTCTATGGAATTAAAACATATTTGGTCACACAACATTTTCTTACAAGATGATTTTTCACATTAAAACTGCAAGAAACTTTGTATTTATATGTGTAAACTAGCTGATCTGAATTTACACGGTTTTAACTGACTACTGAATTCCCGTACGTAGGACGGGCTAACACCTCGTTAAATTTATTGCTTTTTTGATCTACAACAAGAACAGTGATTTACCTACCTCAAAGAAGGTTACAGTTACCAAAATAGTAGCGTATTAAAAATCCATTTGTTTTGTCTCTTGTTTACAACCTTACTGCGATTATCAGCTATTTACCTAATAATTTCACCTAATAGTTTGAAGGTGTAGGATCACTTTAGAGATAAATAAAACCAACTGACGTGAAAAATTGTTTACATACCCTTCAGTATTAATAATAAAAATAAAGTATTTTAAAATAATTTTGCATCTTAAATATATTTTTATTTGATGCATGAGTTTAATTGAGTTACTGTAAAAGTATAATTTACTGTACAGTTTCAAACCTGCCTACATCTAGACGTGATAAAGTTAAGGAGTTTCATAAAACCCAGATAAAGTATTATAAACTTTAAAAATGTACATAAAACCCTTCCTTTATTTGAAAGGATAAAAAATCCTGTCTTTAAAACACAGTGAAAATCCTGTGTTTCTGCACACATTATGGCAAACTTTAAACATAATATGAAGTAAACACAATATGAAACTTTTTTACAATTTATTAGCCTATTATTATTTTGTCTTCATCATGCGTTGTAATCACCTTCTTTTGATGATAAAATGTATCATTGAAGGTTAATTTTATTAATAGTAAAAATATAGTTAGGCAAATTTTGTTTAGTAGTACACGTTCTACTGCGTGTTTAAAGACAAGAAAATTTAATATGATGTTAGAATCTTTCAGTAATATTATTTATTGAGGTTTTAAATTTTTTCAGCAGATAATTTTCATTACAGGTTTGAAATAAAAAAGAAAGGGAATAATGTTTTGTCAGTAGTGATAGGATTGAACTTTAAAAGGGTTATAAAACTACACAAAGTGATTACTAACATATTTACTTAATGGAAAAACTTCGAAGAACTTTGTGTAACAATACCTCGAACCTCTAGG